TTGACTATATAGCTGCAGAGAAAAAGATTGGATAATGCCCAATAATCCAAAAGTTTCTCTTAATAAATTGACACACAATTTGACAGAAGGAAAAGGAACAAATATATACTTACTTTGCATTCGATAATATTGAATAAAACTTATAAGGAAGTTCTAGTTGTTCCCATCCGTCTGCAGCCGCTGCACAACCTATGAGCTGCAGCTTGACTGAAGCTCTGAACATATAAAAAGGAAAACAGATTATTCATTCGTCAAGAAAAAAGTAGTGAAAAGAAGCGCTCGCAACTGGTTTTGTGACCTGCAAGTTGGTTGTGGTCATCCTTCCAAGTTTTGTTACGCACTCATAGTTTTCAATGTGCCTTTTCACATTTGTTGAATTCGTCTTCTAACATTATTGGTGATGACCATGATGCATCACTTAGTATCAGGTTCTTGTGGCATGTTTTCCATGTTAATGATTCTTTTCCTGAGCTAGAAATAGTCTGAATTCAGTTGCTCAAGCTCTGTTCTGTAATCTTAATTCCACACTGGCATAGGTTAAAGGGAACGAGGAGGCAAGCCTCCCCATCTTCTGCATATCTTGATCATCCGACATGGCATGAATCACAGAACATCCTGAAAGGAAGAAACCAGCTTGTAGAATATATTTCTTCTTGTTACATAACACATGTCCTACTCAGTTGAAGTAGGATATTCATTAGTTCTGTGATAATTTTAATTGCATAAGATCAGCTGCAACTTAATATCTTGGCACATTTACTTTTCACACACTCAACTTAAGAACCCCAAGGATTGAATTTCCACTTTTATACAGTCAGTCAGTAACTAAAAACTAGACCAACATCTTTTCACGTCGGTCGGGAGTAGCTAATCACTTGACCATTTAGACTATACGAAGAAATCTTCAACTTGATTTCCAAAAGCAAAGTAGTTAATGCGAGTTTCTCCCCAATGATTTTGGTACAAAAAACACAAGCAGTCGATGCCTGTTTGCAAGTCATTAAAAAGTGTAATAAATATCAGAGGGTTTAAGGGTTTTAACTTACTGATACAGCAGCACTACAATTACTCTATATCCAAAAATGTACTTGGAGCATACCCAGTAGACTTTAGATGATCTGTTAATTGATCAAGCATGGAGTATATACTGCTTGAAGTTTCATGTCTCTTGTCATCAACCATAAATTCATAAACACAGCCATCAATTTCAATGGAGCTCACTGCTCTACTCTTTATGACTCCACCATCTTTTATTAGTTTCCTGATCTTCTTAACATCTTCCCATCTGTGAGCTTCACCAAATATGTTCGAGAGAAGTACATAAAGCCCAGAACCATGTCCTTCCAACTCTAAAAGCTGCTTCAGAATTTGTTTGCCTAAATCTACATTTCCATGGATCCTACAAGCACCAAGCAAAGCACCCCAAATAACAATATCGGGCTTCATTGGCATTCCTATTAACAGCCTAATTGCTTCTTCCAAAAACCCCCCTCGCCCCAGCAGATCAACCATACAAGCATAGTGCTCAATTTCAGGTGATATTCTGTAAATAGACTCCATTCTTTCAAAGTAATATCGCCCCATGTCTAGAAGACCGCTGTGACTACAAGCAGAAAGCAATCCAGTGAAGGTGATCTCATCGGGCCAGATTCCACCTGCTTGCATCTGTTTGAATATCCTAATTGCTTCGAATCCACAACCGTGCAGTGCAAGGGCCCCAATGATAACGTTCCATGATACTACATTCTTTTCTGGTATCTGAGTAAAGAGGTCCATGGCGATTCCAACAGCACCACATTTTGCATACATGTCTATAAGGGAATTAAAAAGAGTTACACTGGGTGCGACATTGCTGTTGCAAATGTAACTGTGGGTTTTCTTTCCAATGACCAAATCACCAATTTGACTACAGGCTGAAAGGATGAAAACCAAGGTAGCTTCATCAGGCAACGCACCAGAATTAAGCATTCTTTGGAAGAGATCCAAGGCAGCCCTGCATTGGCCTTCTCGGACATAATATGAAATCATTGAATTCCACGAAACCACATTTTTCAGTGGCATCTGATCAAAAAATTCCTGGGCAAATTCAATGAGCCCATGTTTAGCATATGCACTAACCATTGACGTCCATGAAACCACATTTTTGTGAGTCATTCGATAAAAAATCGTTTGTGCCAAGTGCAAATGGCCACACTTAGCATACATATCCAGAAGAGCATTTCTCAGAATTTGATCAACTTCAATCCCACTAACCTCAATATAAAGATGCACATACCGTCCCAATTCTAAATCACAAGACTGTGAACAAACAGAAAGTAAATTAACCAAGGTAAACTTATCAGGCCCAACCCCTAAATCTCTCATCTCCCTAAACAATAAAAAAGCTCCCTTGCATGAACCCATTCTAGCATACCCGCCTATCATCGAATTCCACGAAACCAGACTCCTCTCGGACATATCGTCAAACACATTCCGAGCGCTCCGGATAGACCCACAAACACCGTAGACATTAATAAGAGCATTTTGCACGCAAACTTGAGACCCAATTCCTCTTTTAATCGCCTGACCATGAACAACCACAGATTCCCAATACGCAGACTGCCCAGCACAAACCTTAAGAACAAAGGGTAACGTAAACTCGTTCGGCGAATGCCCTGAACGAACCATTTGGCAGTACAGCGAGAAAGCCTTAAATGGGTCATCACTATTTGAGTAGCCCCTTATGAGACTATTGTACATAAACTTATTGGGTTCATGAACATGGTCGAACAAAAGCTGAGCGTAGTGGAGGTTGCCGGCGTGGTTGACGGAGCAGAAGGAGATGAATTTTCCGAGGGTGAGGTTTTCATTGGTGAGGCTATGGAGGATGATTTGGGCGTGGAGTTGCTTGAGTTCTCTCATGGAGGAGCATTGCTCTAGGAGGTGGTGCAGGGTTTGGTGCGTGGGGCTCTTGAAATTTTGGGTGAAATTCGTGGGATTTTGAGGGACAGTGGTGTGCAGAGAGTGATGGTGAAAGAGAGGGTTTTTGAGGCGGG